AACCACTAAAAAAAAATTTTTTTGCCATATTTTTACTTAAAATGTATAGTTTTCTCTTGCTTTGTCCGCCATTACTAGCATAAAAGATACTCCGGTTGGGCTGCAATGCATTATGGGATATGCTGGGCCGGGAAGGATCCATCAGACCAGTCCTTTAATTCGGGCCAAAGGAAGGACACATTTGTTGGCTGCATCGGAGGAGTCTTCGGTTTTGGACGGCCTTCGTCGTGGCGCTGTGACGTATGCGGCAGACGAATTCGGCCTTCGGAGGACCCGGCCCACCGTTTTGGACACAGCAGTAGACTCCATCAGACGTACCAACATGTATTGTTGCTGAAGTGGTTGTGTGACAAAGATTGTGACTTTCTGTTGTCACATTGCCACAGAGAACTTGTTCTGTGCGCAAGGGGACGGCAGAATTTTTTCATGTCAAACTCCGGCCCTTGAGGGCCGCTATCCTGCTTGTTTTCCTTGTTTCTCTGCTCCAACACACCTGATTCAGTGATTTAATTACCCTTTCAAATTATACAGAAGTCGGTTAATCATTCATTAATGCAAATCAGGAATGTTTGAGCAGGGAAACATGTTGGGTAGCGACCCTCAAGGATTGGAGTTCAACATGTCTGGTTTAGATGCGTAATGGGAGGTATCTGTGTAGTTTGCGGACAATCTGTGCAAACTGACATGTGCTGTGGTTATGATGTCCAAGAGGGAGTGTGCCTCGTCTGGACAGTGCATGAATAAATTACTGTACTGTCAACGTGTCTTTGTGAAAAATTTACAAATATTGCTTTCTCTCGGTTAACAGCAGACATACCAGATTTCCTTCTTCCATCATCGACTGAAAATAAACGTTCACTTTGCCAATTGTGCTGTTGTTTGATGTGTGCTGTAATGAGATCAGATGGCTTGTGTTCCATCAAGTAGCATCCCTAACTCAGCCAGCTGTAGCTGGAATCACAAGCGTCTGCCACCGTTATTGAGTGAGTTAAGAACTGAAAAGTTGTCAACCTACTTGTCTAGTCTGTATTATGAGATCACAGTCTCTCTTAGTTGTTTATTTCCAGCTGATACGAATGTGGTGCACGATAACCTACCCTGCACCAGGACCTGATCTAGCCACAAACAAACAAGAACCAGACACAAAACTTTGCAAATTACACTAAAGATCATTTTAACACTTTTCCCATTAATGTTTCACAACTATGTACTTGATTATTCATTAGCTCAGTAAAACCTTTTTACATATTCAGTTCATAATCCTGCTTGTGTCAACCAGTTCATCCACAGTAAGAAAAGTGAACAGGCATTCGTGTTGCATTTAGGGTTTTATTTTTCTGCACCACTTGTCTGCTCTGTTGTGTTCTAGTTTTCCAGATGGATTGGCTCTATAAATGCCCTAAAAGGCATAACTGGAGGGGCCGTTTGCCTTTGAAAAGGAGAGGGGGAATTATTGTCGACTATAACAGCAATCAGATGGTAAAATGTCACAGAATAAAGGTTAAAATTGTTGTGACTCGTCTATTTGCTTCTTGTGACCGTTTAGTCTGTTTTTTTGGCAGATTTTCTTTTGGCAATGATTTTCTCTACGTTAATCTAGACCATTTTGATATTTTCTCAACGTTCTTTGTCCACATTTCTAGGCAAGACGTTTCACCTGCCTTGCTTACTGATGGTGATCAGAAGGTCCGTTGGTGCATGGCAGCCCTGCCACTGTCAGTGAGCCCCGCAGGGCAGCTGTGGCAATGTAGCTTACCATCATGTGTGTGTGTGTGTGTGTGTGTGTGTGTGTGTGTGTGTGTGTGTGTGTG